TATTGCAACCTTTTTAAGTGATTCAGAGGTCAAACACACATAACAATATTACCTATGTTTTTACTAACACTCATAAAAACTTGCTTCTATTAAAACTATTTTAGAAATATAATAACTATCATAGTAAATAAATAGGAATAAGTAGTGTCTAGAAAAACAGTTAACAAAGTTTGTTTGTTGGCAAATTTGAAGTCAAATGTAATAGGTTAAATTGAAGCGACATTGTAAAGAATAATGAAATTGTTGGTTAATAATGTCAATTAAAAAAAAAATTTTAGGTTTCCTATATGAGAAGTATTAATTTTAACTGATCAAGTTGAATTTTATTTAATTGTTCAGATTTCAGAATACAAGTATAAATAATCATGTTAGGTATGTTGGATCAAATATATAAGCTTTCAATTGCTCAAATTCATACCATTTCAAGTGATCAACGTTAATTTTAAATGTTGGAAATGACATTGCCATAACTTATTTAATAAACATAGAAGCAGTCAAAAGATAGTTATTGCTGCTGACTACACTTTAGCACTAAACATACCCTTTATGGGTCTTGGATGTGTTTCATTAATAAATAATTGTTTTTAAAGTACATACTTGGATTTGGATTTTTGAGTCTAAATATAGGTGTGCTCAAGATTTTTTTTATTCATAGTACTGAATCAAATACTGTGTGCGAAATTACTAAGCCTTGTTACCATAAAACTTTTAATAATATTTGGCTTAGTTATAATATTATAAAACATGTTTTTAAGATACTTTACTTAGAAATACAAAGATATCCCATATATAAGTTTTTGTGTGTTTTATGCAAGTTTTTTTATTATTTTCCTTACTTTACAATAATTCAATTGCTACGCAATATTATTGTGTCAGTACAGTGACCTACCACATCTCCCTATTTATAATTTTAACAGATAACCATTGTATTACAGCCATTAGCGGTAGTTGTCAAGAATGAGGAAGAAAATTACCAATTATTGAAATGTTAAGAAGAGATATTAAACCGAGACCACTAATCTATTTTGAATGCAGTTTGGACAACTGATTTTTATATGAAAAATTGTATTACTGTGTTTAAGATAATTGTGTACTTCATAATAAATTTTTTGTATCTAATAATATTGTTATATTAATAAAATGATTAATTAATTCTACCACTTATTTAATGACTGCCTATAGAAAACGTAGTAACCGAGTTAAATACATAGCTAAACCAAAATGAAAAATATATAAGCCATGTTACTTTATAGGTTAATAAAAGAACAATATAATAACTTACACATTTAATTTAATGATTATAGTAAACTTTTAACACACTACAAAATAACTTTCAGTAAAACAAACTTAAGTATAATAAAAACTAATTCAAACCCAGCCTCACATAGAGCTAATCAATAACATCTACTTTATTTTGTAGACAAATATATTTCCTAATTAGTTTGTAAAAAGTAATAGTTATGAACGATAAATTTAAAAAAGCTTAATAAGTACTTAAACCATCATGTATGTAATGATGGTATTTCATACTTGTGTAAAGCAGAATAATGTTTTTATCCAAAACCTTAATGTTATATCAATATATTTTATAAAAATATAGGAACCGAAATTGTACTGTGTTATCATTTATTATAAATTGAAGGATAAGTAGTCCAAATTCAATAATTTGAAAATGTCTGCACTATTGTGTCTTTTTATATCCAGGGGCCTTGTCGTATGATACAAATGTAATATTCTTCTTCTTCAAAGGCACAATGTATTTTTCTTTCAGGAATTTTGAACATTTGGGGATCTCTGAAATTATTGAGATTTATAATTTTAGTATAGTAGAAAAATACAAATATATTACAAAATTTACCTATCTTAACTTATTTATCGTTTTCTGTTCGACTTATCTCTGCTGGAGACAAGACATGATCAAGACTGCATCGAAAAATTGGTTCTAGGATAAAAATGATATTTTTAATGCTAAAATAATCAAAATGTACATTTAAGTGAGATGAGATGTCAAATGGTATGTATCAGAATACCAAATACCAACAATTTTGGAGCGTAAGTGTAGCAGTGCCAAATTTTAGTTCCAAATGTGAACAATCTCATTTGAGCGGCGCTTTTGTCGCGGTTATTGTTTATCAGAATACCAAATTGTAACATGACACCGAAACGAACGATTTGACAGCAAAAATCAGCGCTGCGAGTGTGTGAAGCGAGTTACAGAATCGCAGGGCTGCTCTCTAGATTTTGTGCTTATGCAAAGGAGACGTTGCAAACAAATCCCTCAAAAAAAAGACCCCTAGGAGGCCCCGACATTAATCACGATAGCTGATGACAAATTAAAAGCCGCCCGCGGCAAAGAAAAGTCAAAATCAGATTAGGGTAAAAAACAGCCTTCACCGGGGAAGGCTTGATCCTTTACTTCGTAAACTTAATAAAGGCCCTTGAAGCAAACAGCGAGATTGAATTGATAACACAACATTATTTTATTTTTCCTAAGGGTTGATGGTTATATCTTTTATTTACCATACAATTAGATAAAACATATAGCAACCCCGATTATAATACATAAATATTTTATTATTATTTTTGCTATTAAAGGAAAGTGATTAGTAGTAAATTATATTAAATATTACGATGTGTTTTAAAAGAGGATATTTTTTTATTTATCTAACTAACTATTCTCAAAACGTAGGTGATTTGGTTGAAATATATTAGTTAATATATATATACATAACTTTTTGTTTACTTCGGACTTCACTGTGAAAAAAAAATACTCTACCGAAAAGTGACCCTATATTACAAGTTTTGGCGCATGTAATAGGGATTTCGAAAAGGCCATGAGTCGCTCTAACATCTTTCTAGGAAGAATTACAAACAACGATTGTGAAATAATTGTAATAAAACAATTATTTCTCAATCGTTGTTTGTAGGAATACACTAACATATCTTAGTTTCGTTTTCTATCTAACCTGTAGAGTCACAAAAAGAAAGCCTGATATTTTTTTTAATTCCACAAATAGGTAGTCTTTAATGATGAAGTATGCACGTAGCAAGTTCGAGAATATTCTACTTCCCACTTATGGAAATTTTTAACAATCGTTGATAAGACAGAAAAATTGCGATAAATATAATCGTATTAGCGTTTTGATTTTGGTATAAAGCTGCGAATTTATTAATTTTATCATTATTTCTTATCATGACCCCTGGTAATTTTTATTATATATTAAGTCTTTAAAATGTATAAATTATTGTACGTATCTGTGTATCACATATGTTGCACTTCAAAGATTTCCCATTCTCCTAGCAACCATATAAGATGACACTACTTCTAAAAAAAAGGATTTGTCAGGATTATATTCTTAAGAAACATGGTAAATTTAATAAATTACAACATTTAGTAGCACTTATTTTCCAAAAATGAGACCAATAGAAATTTAATTAAGAATTTAATTTAAACGAATTATTGAGTGGTATTATATTTATTTCAAAATTAACTCATGTTTTAGTAGTGAATTCATCTTTTTGACACGCCCTTTCACATTTCACTACATGAACATTTAATAGACATAATTTCTCTCGGATATATTCTTACATTTCTTACCTAATTGTTTTAAAATTAATAACGATAAGATAAAGTATCACCCACGTAGGAAACTTTACGCCCCTAACAGGTTGATGAATTACTCTTATCATTTTATTAAGATACGTATTTCTTCACAAAAAATAATGATACAATCATTATTTAAAAGTGTGATTAAAGTTTGCACGGCGTACATTGTTTCGTGACCCCGTCTTGAGAGCATGTTGTATAGAGGTAAACTATAAACCACTTTATAATAGTAATTAATATGAAAAAGAAATATACATTTAATCACAAATTGACCAAGAGGCATCGCTTAGAACGATGTCAAGCGACCGGATAGGATGTTTTTGATCCCTTGATGGAACAGGATCTGGTACAGGATTTTAGCCAGATGGATTTGTTTGCAAAGTCTCTTTTGGATAATCACAAAATCAAGAGAGCAGATAGAAAACAATAAACAGAAATCCTAGTCATTCCTTATACTTTTATTTTGTTCCCTTTAGAGTTCAAAATCCTGTGCCATGTGAAACCAATGGTAAATAAACTATGATTAGAGATTTATGTAGGTGCCTGGTAACCAGGGATTACTGGGCAAGCCTGACCTTGGTGCTTTTTTGACTGAGCCGTATTACTATGTTAATGCAGCGACCTATTTTTGTAATACCATTACCCATTTATATTAATAAAACTGCTCTCTGAAGTTATTTATAATAATACTAGCTGACCTGACAAACGTCGTTTTGCCAGGTGTATCTTTTATAATAAAAAATAGGGGTTGATCGTAGAGGGATGAAAAATAGGGGTTGTATGTATTTTTTAATGCTGTATCATAAAAAATAAAAAATAAAATTTTTATCTAAAAATTTAAGGGTGGACTACCCTTAACATTTAGAGGGATGAAAAATAGATGTTGTCCGATTTTCAGACATACCCAATATGCACACAAAATTTCATGAGAATCGGTCAAGCCGTTTCGGAGGAGTTTAACTACAAACACCGCGACACGAGAATATATTAGATTCTAGAAATGTTTTAATTTGCACTAACTTGACTGGACTTGCAATGATATGGTAGAAAGCATATCATTATTTGATAACATTAATAAATAATAAATCTTAAGCCTAGGATAATTACACGACGTCACAATCATTTAATTAAATTTAATCGATATCGATTAAATAAAATATTATTCCCTAAACTATGTCGTGATAAACTTTCGGTAGACTTTTGATTATACATAACATGTGATTAGTATTATTACGATTATAAGAATTCAGCTTTGTTTTGATACAGACTTATGTCATAGCAAAGAATTTAGATACATAACCTCCTATCATATGTGTTTAATAAAATAAAAATTCAATTTTAAATATTTGAGTTGCATTTAATGTCGATAAAATCATCCTTGTCCTTATTAGTATTAGAAGGGCCAGCTTGCTCCAGTCCTTAAACCGTATAAGCCGTTACTGAAAAGATAAATAAAGTCTATAATATAAAAAGATACTAAGGATTTATTAGGTTTTTAAGCTATTGCATAGCTTTTATCGCGGGCTTGTAGCCCGGCGACCGAATCAAGAAATTCCGTAACGAAAAAAAACCTAACGCACGATGACGTAATATAGATGCGGCCATACGCGATAGAGCGGGACAGAACGCATACTGTATTCACATCTCTCTGACAAGATCGGTGACGTTGCGCAAGCGCGGCCGGTGCAGCCGGTACGCGTTAGAGTGAGACAGACTATATAGGAGTGTTAGTCTGGTAGAGTGGTAGATTGAATTAATATCAAAGAAAATACTGCATGAATAAAAAATAATAAATAATTATAATTGCATAAGTTAATAAAAAATGCTATGCAATAGCTTTACCGCGGCAGTCCCCGAGTGCCACACGTTTTTTTTATATTTACTAATGCTATAAATAGGCAAGAATAGTCAATGGAAGTCATAAAATTGGGAGAATATGTGATTTCATTTTAGCGTTGACCATTGTTCTTAAAACAAATAATTGGCAATTGAATTACACCTGAATAAATTTGATTCTATTAAAATATTTTATCAAAATCGACCTAGTTGCCTTGGTATTAAACTTACCCCTGTTTGCCGAGATTCGCGTTACCCATGTGTAATTGCCTGCCATTGCAATTAGACCGCTCAGCTTCCGATATATTAGAGCATAGTCGCCCAACCAGATGGCCACGTTGAACAGTAGCAGCAAAGAATTCAGTTGCTCGTCCATGCGAGCATGTGCTGATACTGCATCCAGGTTGAGGATTTCTTCCACCGTTGGGGTAGAAGTCTGCATGTGCTATAGGATCCATGATACCAAGTATACGTCCATCGGTGTGGATTGCCTCAACATATCTACCAGAGTTTCGGTTGAGCGCTTGACTGTTTCCACCCCAGGTAGGACCAGCTGGGTCCAAGCCTGTAAAATAAATAAATAACTTTGTTAGTAATTTTAACATTTACCGTTTTGGTGGCTTATTAATTCATAGTGAAGTTTAATACGGAAGTCCTAGGTTTGATATATGGTGATACAATACTGGTTCTTGATATGAATGATCACTTGTTTGCCGAAACGAATGAATCGGATACAGCAGAAAGGTGTATCATTTCAGATTACTCTGTAACCGGTGATTTTCGTGTGTAAGTGTATCAACAAATATTACTTATTAGGATTTATTTAATTCTATATTAAATTAAGGCAGTACCTGTCACTCTGCGAGCACGTCCGCCGACCTGGCGTCCAGCATTACCAACAATATGAGCTCCCAAACTAAAGCCAACTAGATGGAGATCGTTCCAGTTTCCACCAGCGGTGTTAAACAGAAATTGAATAAAGCGACCCAAATGATTTCCAACATCTGGCGCTCCTCTTGCAGCAGTGTTATATCCTTGACTAGCGAGACGATTCCAGTCTACGACAATCACGTTACAGTCCGTGACAGCGAGGAAGGCTTCAGTGATCATTGGGTTCATGTGAGTGTTTCCGTTATTTCTCCATCCGTGAACGATGACCTTGGTAGGACGATTTCCTCTGTAGTTCGAGTTGCGTACAGAGTTAGCGTTTCCATTTTGAAGTATTTGTCTGCTGTTGCGGTTTTGTCTATAAACAATATGTATATATTTAAAGTATAAAATATGAGTGCAGCTTAGCTCATATAGAAGAGTTAAAGAACACCTTTGTTATTGCATATATGTCAAAATTTTATCCAATGAAAAACATAGTGCACATTTCCTACTGAACAACAATAAAAAATAAATAAACCAAAACATTAACGATAAAAATATGAATTAATAATTTTCTCGTATTCACAACCATGGACATCAATTTGTACTTATATTTACCATCATCTTTTGGATGCTTATTTAGATAAATTATCTTTAAAATATTGCAAAAATTATCTATCAAATACTCGTATTTGAATAATTTGTTAAGGCATGTTTCAACTAAATCTTATATAAATTACAACCCATCTTGTTCGATATTTTCTAACAAAAACAAAATACCTTGTAAACAGCCAGTACTGGTTGTCGTTTCCGTTCCTTGAATTGAAAAAATCTTCATCTACTGGTTCATGTAAGTCAACCAGGTGAGGAACACCCTCGCCATCCGGCATCCAAATATAACGGCTTTCACCTTCTACGTAAAGGCTGTTATTTCCTGGCACTGGAGAATACGAGGTTCCAGCACAGACTGTGAAATAAACCAGAATTTTAATATATATTATGTATAGCGAAAAATATGTTATCACTAAAATATTTGGGTCTTTTTAACGCTATTTTGTTCGGGGGTATTTATGTAACGCCATTAAACAATTAACGTGCCTACCTTAACGGCAAACGTCCGTTTAATTGGAGGATGAAATTTATGGAAAAGAGAACGCACGTGTATATCCTAAATCTCCTGCGCATAGTCAGGTAGCATTCCTAAGATATATAAGTCGTCGTGGCTTTGTCGGCATAGAAAACATAGTTTCAAATAAATTTATTTACGAAACAACAGATGTTTGTTGACAATTTATTGCTTTTTAATATCAAATGTAGTACCATTTGACTTCATTACACATTACCCACACATACTACATTTGACTTATATTCGCCTACAATGTATTTGCTATCTATACAAGCTTATAGGTACACTTAATGCAACTTAATTGTATATAATTATTGTTACAATTATATAGATTTTTTATTTAAATAGCATTAATATTGCATAATATACTCACTGGCTATAAATCCTGCAAATACTACGAACACCCTCATTATAAGGCTGCTTCGGGGGAATATTTTCATTGTAACTGTTTTGGTATTTATATGATATACTCTATCATATCATATCTTCTTTGTATCTATGTAATTCAGTTACTTAGATAATCAATAATGAATGAGTTTTTTATAAAAATGTAATTGCGATTTAATAATATCTTAAAAACATTCACCACAGACCCCACGTGAAGGTTTAAATTAGGTTTAACATTTTATTCTTATTTAAATAGATGGACTGCGTTGTAATTTGCGTTTTTTCAAAAACGTGACTTTATTCGTCAGCGAACCCGCAACTAATAGTTTTATAGTGAATCGACGCAGCCTTCAGCCAAATGGGAAGGCGCGACCGGGGCAGTACCACTTTTACAGAAAACTGGCGTGGATTGTTGCAATAGATTTATCTTGTACTCGCGTTTCGTGTGGTGAGTGAGACTCCCCTAGCTCATTTCCCATCCTAACAAGTTTGAAGGTGCAGTTTAAAAAGAGACTGCTCCAGGGGCACGTGCCACATGCTTCCGCTGTAGAGAATCCCCCTCTGAGCGGCTTTAAATACAGATAAAAGGGTAATTGACGTAGTAAAGGTTTGAGGTTGAAAAAGTATGGGTATTGTTATGGACGGTAAGAGATTTATTTTTATTTATTTATTTACAGCCATACATGGCCGAATTTTTTATAAAACTATGTATTATATAATTAAGCCACCATTTCAAAATCGACAAAAAACCTTTTGCTATCCATTAATCCTCTCTAAGTATTATACCCTTTAATCATAGTTAATACCCCTCATACGCTTCACAAATAGGTCGCTCTTCGCGGGAATGGGAGCTTGTTGACGCTGGACAGTACGAGTCGAATCCACAGCAAAAACGTTATGTTTCCGGCAGCGGTGTTTCTGAACGTACAGTCTCATAAGCTCTCCCAGCAAGTATGCACTTTCTGTTCCGTTATTAATTATGCTTAAACCAAATTTTATCGAAGCTAAATCCCTACGAAGTTCTAGTGAATCATAACCTTAAACACCCATCAAGAACTTAGTAGGGTTCTTTTATATAACTTTCTAAGGAACTTCTTTTGCACCCTTTCAATCATTACCCTATAATACCTTCCATGACGATACAGCACCCTAGTGGCTATGTCCGAGAGACTAGCTGAAGTCCACAGGACAACCCCTAACCTCCTAAATGCAGCAGCTGTAATGGTGCATACCATCTGCAAATGAGAGATCTGGAACAAACAAAACACCAGGTCGAGGACTTTGCCAACGCCCAACATGCCTAATAATTTATTAACTACTATGCTATAGTCTCAGAGTATTTAATTCGGAGTCACTAGGCACGAAAGGTCACTTCGAGTTTATTTAATTTAATCTAATGCAGCAGCTTATCCAAATCATTGTTCGTCTGAATAACGGAAAAAACACGCGTTACTATCATTAAGAAACTTCCACTGCCAATAGAGTTGCTTTAGTCTCAACGAGTACTAAGTTATATGGAGTCGCTAAGAAGAAAAGATAAGTGGTGAAAGGAACACGTGGATGGATGACAAAGCAAAAAAGGCAATAAACGAGAAACATGGTTAACCTGGCTGTCGACGACGTTTGAAAAAATGCTAAATAAAGCGTCGTGAGGTGGAGAAAGCCATAAGAAACTATAAAAACTGGAAGCTGACCACTAAGGGGTTCATAGACCGGAAAAAAGGAGGTCAGAAGTTGTGAACAAGCCGGAAGAATGGTGCATTGTGATAGGATGCTTGATAGAGTATTTTGAAAGTTTATTTGATAAGAACCCCTTTTAACCACGTTGCAATGTTCCAGAGTAAGATAAATACAGGCGGGATAAGTGTGAACAAGATTGTGGAAGCATTGAATAAAAGAAAGCTGGAAACGAATGTCATTAATGCGAATGAAGCTAAAAGGTATGTCATATGTTTGGCCCGTAGTGGCTAGAACGCGTCTCTCAATGACTGTGCACCAAAGAATTTTTCATTATAAGTACGCAATTAACAGTGGCATATCTCAAATCCAAAAATCGAAGAGATATGTCAGATAAGGCTGATTACCTACCAGTCTGTAAAGCATGAAATTTATCATAGTAACGGATGCAATCTGTAGCTATGTATAGGGTAGTAGGGGTATACGTGTAGGGTTGTAGCGCTTATAGATCATTATTATTAATTACGTATAAATTTTAGGTATTTAATTTAAGTATGAATTAGGCACAGTTTTAGAATTTTAGTAATAGTCTGAATAAACAATATTTTTTTGGATTATATAACGTTGTATGCTCACAGCATTATGTATGTATTTATATACTATAATATAAAGTCCAAGTACATTACAGGCCCAATTTGTTTTTGGTTGACCTGAAACCCAATAACTTTCCTTCACGTTTAAGTTATTTGGCTAGTTGTCTTTTTAATGCTTGTATTAATCTACAGTAATTTTAGCTTAAGATTGTTATATTTTATGTTTGAAACTATTTTCTATATTTCTCAGGTTGTGTTATCAATTCAGTAATTGAGTAAATTTAAGGTCATATCAAAATATTTTAGGGAACTTTCTTTATTACAAAAGAAATATATTTACCCTGTTTTGCCAAATTAGCATTACCATTCTATGTTGGGTTTCACTTTCGCTACTAGGTTGATTGCGAGCTTCGTCAAGATTTCCGCATTGTCTTCCAACTGAGTGATCGCGGGTTACGGTGGCGACAAATATGTAGTTTCCACGGACGGCTGTGTGAGCATGAATTGAGTGTGCATCCAGGTTGTGAGTGTCTGTCTGCGTTAGGATAGAAGGCCGCGTCAGCTATCACATCGAAATCTAACTACTAACTTATCTTAAATTAAATTATTTTGATTTATGTGCACTTTTAACTTTTTATTTTTCTTGTATTCTTTATTAGTTTGGTTTGTTTTTTTTAAATCACTATATGTATTATGTATTTTTGCACTTCTTGCCTACCTTATCTAATTTAAGATAATTTTTTTCTTTTCTCACAGTGGTTGCCTGGAAGAGATCGCTCTAAATCGATAAAGCCGCCAGTTGCCCTCCATTACATTGAATCATGTTAAATTTTTATATTGTAATGAAACGAAGTGTTAAAAAAATAAATAAAATGCGCTACCACCCTCCGCCCGTGTGAATGGTTTCAACATAATTAGCATCATTTCTCCTAAGAGTTTGAGGATTATTTGGTCCCCATTATGGGCCAACAGGATCCTGAAAAATAAAGTTCAATTGTGTAATCGTGTTGTCAAAATGTAATTCGAAGTAAATTTAGCATTCCAACGAATATGAGCAACTTAATAGGAGCATTATGTAGAGTGCTTCTTCCCAAGATTTATTAATGAGGAATATATAAACAATTTCATGTAAATGGGGCAAAAATGCAGCGACTTCAGTGGCTTATATAAATCATGTGTAATGTTTCTAATATTACGGCAATAAACAAATAAATAGTATCTAGGACGATAAACATATATTTAGGAAAAATTTTGATTATAAAATAAAATTTACCGCTTATACGTCTACCAAGTCCTCCGATACTACCACCAGCATTCCCAACAACATGAGCCCCCAAGACTGAAGCCAAAAAATGAAGATTGCCCCACTTGCTACCGAAGTTACCGAACTACTGCAAGTGGAGTCCAAGAAATTGTTCAACGCTAGGAACCGCTCGGACTGAAGTAATGTAAGGTGGAGGGTGTGTGCCGAGTGCCTGCGTTACCCCTATCCACGACAATGCTATTAGTCACCAACTTTCGTTGCTTTATCCGCTGCGTCTAATACCCTATTTACAAGATTGTTGTTCAAACAAAATATATGGTGAATCTTCAAACAGAGTAATATAAAATAAAAACTGTATTACACATGATAGGAGTTGGTATAAATTTATTTATTAGGCGACAGTGTAAAGCTTTCAAATGGTACGAATGCTATGATGTTACGTAAGAAACTGCCAAATTGAATATGATTGAGATATATTGTTTGGCTGATTGTTTTAAATCCACCTACATGAGCTAACCCAAATTAATCAAAATGTCATACTTAAAAAGATACAATCCTACTGTTTATTACCCATTATTCTACGCGTGTACTTTTAATAAAATAAATATTTTTTATATAATATATTGCATATTATGCAAGTTATTTATAACACATTAAATCTGAAGGGGAGAGTTATGGAAAAGTTTCTTGGCAGGCACTATTGGAACAGGATCCCACTCCTCGATTCTACAGCTATCTGTTTTTTTTGATTAAATTAGTTTTTAATGAATGGGAGAGTTGTTTCAACTAATTTTTTCTAAGCAACCTATCGCTTACCCATTGGATACTCCCTCAAGATTCATTAAAATTAATTTGATAAAAAAAACAAAGAGCTGCAGAATCGAGCGGTGGGGTCTTAGTCCCATATTATGTCAATAGAGATAGCGCTTTAATTAAGTCAGCCAAATAGATTATATTAGTATAGATATTTATAAATAAATTTAAGAAATTTGTTTCTTTATGAATGTGGTTATTTGTTACTAAATAACTTTGCATTTCCTAAAAAAACAAATTCATCTTTATTTTTTAAATTAGTACTTGATTAATAATATAGTATGGGATATAGGTACTGTTTTAATCATTCTATAATAATTATAAAAATTACTCCTGTATGGATATGTTTATATTTACTATGGATATAGACTTTCTTTTGTTTTCTATTTAAAAGGTAAAATAAATTAATTTATTATTTTACGGGCTCAATGCGTAGAAGTTTAATTATTATATTTTTGTTGAGTCCCACATATAGTCTTTAATGGTAAAGAATGTAAGAAGCAACTTCCAGAATATTGTATTTTCGGCTTATAAAGAAAATTTGCGATCGTTGATAACACGACCACACTGCGATAAATGCAATCGTATTAGCGTTTTGATTGATGTTTTGATTAATCTGATATTTTATTTATCAATGTTTCCTATAATTACCATTGTTATTTTTAAATACACACAAGTTATTCATAATATATAACATATATTATGA